TGTCAAGTAGTTGACATATACATAATGACATATACATCATATACATAATGTCAAGTAGTTAACATATACATCATATACATGTCAAGTAGTTGACATATACATAATGACATATACATCATATACATAATGTCAAGTAGTTAACATATACATCATATACATAATGTCAAGTAGTTGACATATACATGACATATACATCATATACATAATGTCAAGTAGTTGACATATACATCATATACATGTCAAGTAGTTGACATATACATGATATACATGTCAAGTAGTTGACATATACATAATGACATATACATGTCAAGTAGTTGACATATACATGACATATACATCATATACATAATGTCAAGTAGTTGACATATACATAATGACATATACATCATATACATAATGTCAAGTAGTATCCGAAAATTGAACCCATCTTCTACCACTCTTGATTTCATAGAAAAAAAACTTATGTGACCAATTTAAAAAAATCTGAATGACATAAACATACACACTTGCTGTCTATGTCATTGTTATATCACGTGTCACACTTTGACGGTGTTTATAATGTTCTTTAAGGGAGATAAGCCATGTGTTTAACTCGGCTACTTCTGAAATTAATACTGATAAATAAGTTAGGTCAGTTCAAAATTACTAAATTACTTATATGAAGTCAGTTCATTTCTTAATCCACAAAAGCAAACACCAACACACATAACAGCTGAATATAATGTAGAAAGAAAGGAAACTACAACTGATCTGTAGTTACTCTTACTTATTGTCAAACCAATTTAAAATGGTTTACAAAACTAAAGAGTAAGAACACCGTTAAACTGTAAACCAGTTCTCCCACTCAAATCTTGTTAATCTTAGGCAAATGTTGAAAAAAATAATAATTTTGAAATTTGTTTCTTTGCTAAATTTCGTGCAAAGCTACTCAAGGGTTATCTGCACTGGCCGTCCCTAATTTAGAACTGATAATACCGAAGGAAGTCAACACGACTCACCGTCAACTCTTTTACTAAGAAATAGTGAGATTGACCATCACATTATAACATCCCCACAGCTGAAAGGTGAGCGTGTTTGTTGACTAGGTTGAAGTTTGAAAGACATTTTTACTTCTGTTCTATAATACATATACGGTACAAACTGTATTTAATCTTTCCAGGAGAAACCAGTTGTGATTAAAGAACTTTACCAATAAAGTTATACCATCCGATGAATTTCACTACAAATTAGACAAAATTATGTGTCGATTTGTGTGGAAATTAACAAACAGAAAAAAATATCGAATTGTTGGCTTAGCGAAGATTTAGAAAAAATACGAGTCACAGTTTAACGTTAAAATATAATATACCCACTTCTATGTCAGGTTACTCATTTTTCTCGAGGGATCCCAAACGTTCGGTAAAAACAAACTTTATAGGACACACCTATATTATTATCCTAACGCTAGTCTAAAATGTTCTGAACTTAAAACCACCACAAACGTGTCTCCGTTTCTTCCAGAACCGTCAATTTCCTTTCTTTCAACATTAAGATAAACCTTAATAAAAAAAACATTAACAAATATTATTAATGGAACTGGTTTTTCCAGTAGAGAGGGAAAAAAAGTTTTACCAATACCTCACATGAATATTGTAAAGGAAGTCTTAGCACCCTTCTGGCCTTTTAAGGGTCTACAGCAAAACGAAATAAAAACTTAGGTTCTTTTAAATATTCACTGGAAGAAAAACTACTAACCACATAGTTTACAAATAGAAGAAAAATAACTTTAGGTTAAAAACAAATAAACAACATTTTTAACACATAATTTGACAAGTGTTTAGCTTCGTCACTAATCCCCTCAGCACTACCATGTAACACGTGTTGCGTAATATTATACAAAAGTCTAAAGCAACACGTTAAAATCGTGAGGATCTCGAGCTGTTGTAGCACAACTCTTTTTAATGATAAATTCAAGCTGAAAACAACATTTCCAATCAGACTTGTAAATAAATCTTACATTACTGAGGTGTTTTTTTTTCCGGACTTAATACTGAAATTATACGAGGTATATTTCTAACTTCGAACGTTAGGCCTACTCAGAAATGTTCATGTTGATTTTTTTAATAATTCTTAATACAAGTATACATCAAAAAGTTGTTCACTTTCGATCTCTAACTAGTTCTAACTGTATTGAATAACACTAGGGGAAAAATTATTTAAATAATATTCAATAAATATCAAATAAATTTTCTAAGTTAGCCACAATACTTCCTATATATAATGATAAATATAATTATGTAAAAACAAACCAAAACCAGAACTAAAATGATTTGGTGAAACTATCTTCTCTATCCTGTATCATATCTGGTTGAAATATTTTTATCAGTTACAGATTGTCTTGGATTTAATCAACTTTAAACAATGAAATACTTTTTGTTGTTGTTGTTGTAGAAGAAGAAACTAACTGGAATCTTCTAATTAAGTAACTCAGGGAGAATAATACGTGTCTAATGTTGAACTTTATTATACATATACAAAACACCTTTAACCGGCTAAACTTACTTGTAACAAATATAGTGTACTCAACAAATAACAAAAGCTTGAATAAAACTGTTTTTATAATAAAGTTTCTAACCACACAACCAGTGGTGACACAGCTAACATCTATAAAGTTTCTAACCATACAACCAGTGGTGACACAGCTAACATCTATAAAGGTTTTAACCACACCACCAGTGGTGACACAGCTAACATCTATAAAGGTTCTAACCACACCACCAGTGGTGCCACAGCTAACATCTATAAAGATTCTAACATATCAAATTGTAAAATGCCAGTCCTTGGCAAAATATTTCAAAACATTAAATTAAAGTGTTATAAAAAAAAACATTAATTTCCAAATAAGAGATTACTAAATATGGATGATATAAAAGACCAAATCCAAAAGTAAAATAAACCTTCAAGAAACTAAGAGCAGAAAAAAACGAAACAAAGACAGATATAGATTAACACTTTAGAGACCAAGACACCGCTTGAAAATCTTCAATAAACTACTAAATTATCCCGATCACTTACAAAGTGCCCACATTTTAGAATTTGCATTCAAAATTGAAATGAACTGCTTTATAATCATTGTATACAAATCAAAACATAGTTAATAAATCAAATTTTAATATAAGTTTTAAGTTCTTCATTTTATAACGAAATATTTAAAAAAATTAAACTCCCCTCACCTCCAATTTATTTACCACCCCTCTGATAAGTACATAATTAAACATAAATTACTCATTATAATACAGATTTTACTAAGTCAAAGCATAATTTTTATAGCCTTCAATCTTATTTCTTTACGGAGCCATAAACTAGAAAAAACCATACCCACTTGCCACGCTCCCACCTGTCACATCCTCTCTTTCAGAACTTGCCAGCAGTAGTCTCTGACGTTTCATATTATATTATTTATAACCAATAGAAAGCCAAGGTTTTAATATATCAAATGACATTGTTTTCTGGACAGAGTATTGTCTATTTTACCTCCTGTTTGAAAGTTTCTCTTGCAGAATTTACATCGACAAGCTTGGCTAAATTTCTCGAGGTTTTCTTTTTATTTAATATTTAAAAAAACCAGATAAATTATGATAGTTATAGGATATTGTTCACTACAGAATAACAGCATAAACAGAGCACTAACTATGTAATTCAATACAGATAATTTGAGCTACCCATTTGCCAAGTGATTTATAGTTTGTGTGGCAGAATTATTAGTTAGACAGGGGTCAAAGGGCAATAAAACAATAGAAATTAAGAAAAACAATGTATACTTTAAGGAGTCTTATGCTATTTACGATAAACAAATATGGTTTCCTATTATAATTTGCAGTCATTCTAGAAACAAAAAAGAATAATTTAGACTTTTTTATTTTTTTATGGTGGTTACAAGGTTGGTCAAACTGACCCAAAACGTATAGTAAGAGAAAACAACAGATAAAACAAAGTTTTACTGAAAATAAAATGCCGAAATATAATAATTTAGACTTTTTTTATTTTTTTTATGGTGGTTACAAGGTTGGTCAAATTGACCCAAAACATATAGTAAGAGAAAACAAAGTTTTACTGAAAATAAAATACCCAAAATATATTTAGGAGGTTTTGGAGATTAAGTGAATGAAATTTGACAATTTTCAAATGAAGAAAACTATATTTAATCTTAACATGAAAATTACTTTCCACACAGAGCAGTCGACACACTGACTCCATATATTCATGGACAATTATTTACTAAAAATACTTGATTAAAATATCTTATCTTTTGCGTACAAAAGACATGGAATTTTTACTGAAAGCTTGCCAAATTTCATGGTGATACACAAAAACATCTTAAAAGTTATAGTATGGAAACTGGTGGCCATTTTGGGGTCATAAGGTCAGCATAATCTATCAAGCCCATACCAAGAGGGTTAATCTCTTTATAAATACTTTATTAGTTTTTAACTTGTAACAAACACCATGTGATCTTGACAGCTTATGAACATTATCAATGAGTTATCTTATCATTAAAATTTAATCTTTCATTCCATGATTTACAAAGAAAAAGATAGCCCAGTATAGTACAAGTACGGTTAGTTGTACAAAAACTAATTAACCCAGTGTAACACAACTAAAGCTATATAATTACCGACTAGTCAAGAAATTGTATTATAATACCTCAAATATCTTTTCGGTAACATATAAAACTAAAGATTAAGTAAAACTAATTTCTCCCCACTGTCCAAAGTTAGATATAAGTAGTAGATTCTCTACAATTTGATCAATTTCAACAGACAACTTTAATAGATATTACATAAAAACTTGTACATGATTTACTAAATATCTTTTAACACAAATCTTATCAACTATCCCTACTAACATTCCTCTCAGACTACTTTTAAACATTGGGTTTACCAAACTGAGATATTGTATATACATATAGTAGAGTTAAGCCTTTTCAAATCAACTAAAAATAGGTATTTTCAAGCTAGCTAATACTAATAGTTAAATACAGCTCAGGATCATGAGGAACAACAACAACAATAAAAAAAAAAGCCACATTTTGAAAACTAAGAAGTCTTAAAACTTTAAAAGTGGGGTCAGTTTGTTGGCTCTATTTAACATTCATGTTTCAAACAGTGAACAACCTTAACATTTTGTTAACTACAATTGTCGTTCTGAAGGCAGTTTTACTTTGAAATTTTATCATCTTGATACCGGTTCATACGAGTCCTTAATTCTAATCCATATTAATAGCTACAAAACCACATAATCTTATACCAAAGATTAATTCATAATAAAAATGTTACCTAGAACACAGGTTTACGATATTTTGGACATCAAAATATCGTGCTTATATTAAACACAGCATTTCCAGCAATCTACTGATATTTTTTTTTTATCTCAAACTTGTTACCGTAGTACTCTTTCTTCCAGGACTGTAACTGAAGCCTAATATAAGTGATATAAATACAATCACAAAGATTTACACTCACTTATCTATTAATTCTTCTTCTTCCAATACTGAAAAATAGGCAGTAATTTAATCCCAGTGCAAGTCACGTGAACCACGTCTGCTACTCTCAGTTTTTTATATAAAACTGGTGTAAGAAATAAATCTCATGAAACTTTAAATGTATTTCATAAAATATTTCCCACTTTACAGTAGGTTACAATTTAAAAACTACGTACCAAGTAGATTTATCAAATAAACAGTGTACGTACAAGTAGAAATACGGTAAAGTTAAAATACCTTACACACCTTCGTGTTGGCTGGGAGGTATGAAAATTGTATAAAACGTTCTTACCCCATTTCGTACTGTCGACAACAAGCCTCTCTAAAATCTGTAACTGGAGAAAGTTCAGCATAAACCGGTCTGCCAGCAAACCATCGATTGTTCAAGTCTGCCACTGCCTTTTCGGCATCTTCTTCACGTCGAAACTAAGGTAGAGAAATCATGTACTTCAAGGTAGCAGATTTGGGTGACTGTACTTAATATCAATAAAAACACAACAGGGTTCACTATTGATGATCACAAGTGATTTCACCTCACACAATTTTAATCTGATATTTTCTTAGTTTCAATTTCCAATCTGGTTTCAATCAGATAAACACGCACACAATTTTTACTGGAAGTTTTAGTGAAGTATTTTATATTCTTTACACGTTATTAGGTCAACACACACATACAATTTTTACTAGAAGTTTTAGTGGAGTATTTTATATTCTTTACACATTATTAGGTAAACACACACATACAATTTTTACTAGAAGTTTTAGTGGAGTATTTTATATTCTTTACACGTTATTAGGTAAACACACACAATTTTTACTGGAATTTTTAGTGGAGTATTTTATATTCTTTACACGTTATTAGGTAAACACACACACAATTTTTACTGGAAGTTTTAGTGGAGTATTTTATATTCCTTACACATTATTAGGTAAACACACACACAATTTTTACTAGAAGCTTTTAGTGGAGCATTTTATATTCTTTACACGTTATTAGGTAAACACACACATACACAATTTTTACTAGAAGTTTTAGTGGAGTATTTTATTATTCTTTACATGTACATAATATTCAAAATATTGTGTGTATATATATATATATATATATATATATATATATATTAATAATTAAATAATCAGCCAATCCTTAAAGTACAAAGACTAGTGGAATCCTAAAGCAAGTAAGTGGAACTTACGTGGACGAGACTAGTATTACTATCTATCTATCCAGCAACCTGTTTCCAAGTAAACTACGTTAAATGATCTTACAAGATGGAATATATACTCCTAACGATACATTCCCATCAAATTTGATGATACGGAACCCAATACGAGTAACAACTTTGTCAACATCAGATACACCGTACATTTGTTACCATGTTAAACTTATGACAAAGTTCTCTTCATTACTTACTTTATTATTGTCGGGTAGTAAGTAGTAGTATTTATTAAGTTAAATATACGAGATATACACTATGGATATCATAGTTATATCTTAAACACTATACAGTTCCCTTCTTCTTGTCTAAAGTCCACTTAGGCCTATTCAATTGCTTTAGAATTCAGACAAGCTGAACTATTTTTTCTCTATTTTTATCACAATAGTATCAGTGTATAATTCACTTATGCTGCCTCGTGAGTTATATTGTATCCTGAACTTCCGATACTCGTCTGCATTTTTTGTGTTTAGGCCTACTTCCAACTAATCGGCTGCTTTTTGTCAGAGTCCACACAGGCATATTCAATTGCTTTAGAACACCCTGTTAATCTGAGTTTGATATATCAACCATCAGGCTATTCATTCCTACGACAGTTAACTTGATGTTTTCTAACCTTTCTATGACCGAAACTCTCTTTCACTTGGCTTTCTTTTGGCTCTCGTCCCGCTCTCCGCTTTTTTATTCCTCTCACTGAGGCATTCTAGAAATCTTCGTAGCCTCAACATCAATAACTTATACACACACACAACTTCCAACAATCATCTACTTTTAACTCTTATTAACACACTAAACAATCACGAAATATTAACTCAAAAATTAATTAATACCACCTACACTAAACAGTCTTTTATATCTGACGATATTCATTCCTACGAGGAACTTAATCCTAATAAAACCTGTACGGTTTTTGAGCCTCACCTTTACATAAACATTTCCCACCAAATGGTCTCCAAGGTTGTCACATACATTCATTTCTTCGATCTCTCCATACTAAAGAATAAATTCACACAACATGACATACTGCAATAGTATAAGTTTATAATTTAGTCACAGATGAAGACTTATAACATGAGTATCAAACAAACATAAATTAATATCCTTGAAGTCGAATATTATCTTAGAAATTACTATCTAAAAAAAAATCCTTGTTGAAAAACCGAGCTTACAAAAGAAGTAGAAAAACAAACAATAATGACAAGATACAGACCTAAAGACAAAATAATTAAGTCAGTAGCAGACAGGAACTATACATCAATCAATACAGATCAAAATGACCCAGTAAGAGAAAAAGAATAGGCACAGATAGACTGGGCTGACTCGATGAAAGGAACAGACAAAGAGGGACTGGGCTGACTAAATGAACGGAACAGGCACAGACAGACTGGGCTGACTAAATGAAAGGAATAGGCACAGACAGACTGGGCTGACTCAATGAAAGGAACAAGCACAGAAGGACTGGGTTGACTCAATGAAAGGAACAGGCACAGACGGACTGGGCTGACTCAATGAAAGGAACAGGCACAGACAGACTGGCCTAACTCAATGAAAGGAACAGGCACAGACAGACTGGGCTGACTAAATGAAAGGAACAGGCACAGACAAACTGGGCTGACTAAATGAACGTAACAGGCACAGACAGACTGGGCTGACTCGATGAAAGGAACAGGCACAGATGGAGTGGGCTGACCCAACAAAAGAAAATTGAAGGAATAGATTCGTGGCAGGATGTACTGATACACGAGAGGAGTGTGTCCAGCTACAGTCAGATGAAGAATACAATGGAAGTGACTAACCTAACAACAGAATATATTTATGAAGAACTAGAATAACATGCTAGGTCATAAAATACCGAGTCAGAATGGCAGTAAACTAGTCATGTATCAAAAGACAAGGACAACCAATACAACAAGGATCTGGTAAATATTGTTACACTACAATACAAAAGGACAGCCAGGGCGGATGGTCTGAGCAATTACCGATATACTGATCCAATGCAGCATTTTGTGTAGTTTATATATATATA